ATATATATATATATACACGTGTACATATCTATTTATGTTTATTAAATATTGTTTCATGTATTATGATCGTGCAAAGAATAAATTTTATAGCATATTTATTCTAAATGCATTGTCCTAAACACATTTGGTTTTCTTAGACATATCCGGATATATTAGAAATTTTGATTATATTTGTATAATTTGATTACTCATCAACTATTAGCAATACGCTTTATTACAAACGCTTTATTATAACGCACGAGACATTCAATAGCCTTCAAATTAATTAATCAGTACTCTGAGCAATCTAGATAATTCTAAAACTAATTTTATTTTGCATGGACAATTTGTCGTAATTTTTACATGGGGAGGGAATCTGCATACACTTACGTCTAAGAAACCTTCGATATAATATTATTTACATGACTTTAAATTTTAACGTGATACTTTGAAAGGGAGGAAATTTTTGCATTAAACTCTATGCGAATAACGATAAGTCAATATCTCTGAATGAAAATATATATTACTTTTTTTTTATTATGCCTAGTTATTCGAACGAAATCGAAACAATATCATGATTACTGTACGTATGAACTAATAAATAAAATAAAAAAGATCATAAAAAGTATTTTATTTTCTTCGCATTTCTGTAATTATAGTCGTATATTTTCATTATAAAAAAACAATACGATATAAAAATTTTTATTTTCATAAATTAAATTATAGTAAATAAGAAATTATTAGAATACAAATTAAATAATAGTTAAATATATATCATCCTTCTTTCTTTTTTATTTTATTTTTTATTCTGGATATTTGCTCTCCTTTTAAAAATTGACTTTATTCGTACGAAAAGCTTTTCTATTTAATATTCGCTCAGTACGATTCTAATAATCTCTATAGATTCTCGTTCCATATATGATTTCCTTTTCACGAAGACAACATTTCTTGCTTTGTCAACGATATTATAATACATATTATAATACATATTATAATATAATAAATAATGAATGGCTATCTAGTAGTCGTTGAAAGGATAGTAATATCAGCAAGAATGGAACAAATTTACACAGGACTAGCACATATCTGATTAAGAAGCGATCTGCCACAAACAGGACGACGCGTCCTGTATCTTCGATGAACATGGAACGAGTTGATGAAATACTCTCAAATAGTTTTTTTTCTCGTTTCAGGATTTCCAGCGAATATATGAGAATATTCTGTTCTTGCTGCTAGTGCGGCTAAAACGAATTCTATCCGAATATGATCAAAATTGGAAGAAAAAATAATTATTATTACAAAGTTACAATTTTTTCTCTTATTAATAGCTTAATTTAAACGAAACTTACCAAAATTTACTGTCGTATCGGCAAAATCAATTTTTGCATTCTGAAAAATTTTATCAGATTCTTCCACTGGTACATTTAGCGAAAGTTTTAAAGCTTTTCTTAATTCCATTTTATTAATACACGATAATGATTTTATGCCACATACCTGTTAATCATGATGTATATAATATATATAAAAGATAAATTTATGAAATTTTTTTTCATACTTACTTCAAATGCTGTTTCAACTTTGTCTAGCTCCGAATTTGCATTTGTCGTGGCTAGTACCGTGAATAAATATTCTTCCAAATCTATTTTACCATTTCCTTGCTGCAATAATCATTGTATCAGTAAACTAATTGTCATGTGTAATACATGCGCATTATTTATGTTCTTGTGCTGATTACTATTATATAATAAACTTATACATATAGCATAACTATTACTTTAATATTATCTTTGATATTAGAATCTGAGAAAATAAAAATAATAAGAGACAGTAGATATTTGACAAGACAAACATTACAACGATATAAATATTATAATAAATAAAAAATAAATAATACAAACTCTATCATGTATTCGAAACAGTTGTTGAGTAGCAGACTCTTTTGCATCTATTCTAAGAATTTGCGCAAATTCATGTAAATTAACTTCTTCGTTAAATCTTTCTGTTTTTTTCTGAACTAATTCTTCTTCCATCTTTGCCGATACCAAACTATAAGAATAAAAATTTCACATATTTAATTATTGCATATATTAAAATAATAAATATAAAAAATAATCTATTAAATTTCAATAATATACCCGAGTTTGTTACGAAGTTTATGAGCTTCCACTATGGTAGATGCCCGTGGTATATGTAGTTGATGAGCTTTGCTAATAATTCGGCAATCATCATATGTATAATCTGATACAGGAATTTGTAGTGCTCTAAAGAATGAATTAAATTTTATTTTTAATTAACGATATAATACTCAAATATAAAGATTTCTAAAGATTTCTATTTATTTCATTATTTATTTTTCAAAATTCAAAATCTATCTCTACTTTGATAATACTTACTCCGCCATAAGACGTCGTACATTATTTGCATAAAGCTTAGGATCTGTTTTCTCGGCTTCGCTTGGTTTGTAAACGGGGAGGAACTCTATTTCACAACTGCTATTCAATTGTGTTAATGTAAGCCACAATAACTTTAATCTGAAAACATAATTTTTGAAAATAATTCTGAAAATATAACTTTTATATTTTTGATATGAATTTTCTTTTCTTTTTTTTTTTTTTTTTTAAACTAAAAAGGACACGAAATACTTACGCTCCAGGACCTTCCCAAGTCCACGTTACGGTGTCTAATTTATTAGGATATCTGATACAAACAGGCTGAACAGGAACACCGGGATAAAATGCTCCTGATTTGAAAGTAATAAGACACGATCGATTTGTACAAGTACCTTCGGGAAAAATCATCACCTGCAAATAAAGATATTTTTTTTAAAGATGTTTTTAATTAAAAAAAATATTGAGAATATTTAATAATATTTTTAACTATTTTAAATACGATAAATTTTAATTCAACATTGTTACAAATAAGCTACAATTAAAGTAGTTTTACAAGATATAAATATATATATATATATATATA